CAGAGTGGCCCGGCGACGCGCGGGCGGCTGGACGGACCCTTACCCTGGGTCTTAAAACATAGAGGGGAGGTGCGGGGGGGCCGCTGCGCTCTCCCCACCGGCCTGCCCGAGGAGGTAGGTTGGCGGCGGTGGAGGAAGATGCCCAGGCTCTGCGATAAGGTATCTCCATGATGGCTCCCATGGTGGCGTTCTGGTCGTAATAATCCATAGTAATCCGGATCTTCTGTCCCCAGGCTGAAGTCAACCCCGCGGCCCAAGTTCTCGGTGTGTCTGCTGGGGGACCAGCAGCACTGCGATGAGGCCAAGGCGGTGGACATCCCGCACATGGACATAGAGGCTCTGAAGAAGCTCAACAAGAACAAGAAAATGCTGAAGAAGCTGGGTGAGCGGTGCCGCGGCTCGGGAGGGCTGGGTGGTTTGTTTTTGGGTTTCCATGTTGTGGTTTACTGCAGGGAACAGAAAGCTGACCAGAGTCAGCCTGAAGTGCAGAAACCACCAGGAGAGCAGAGAGCCCATTACTGGTGTAGGAGGTCTGGCAGGTCAGCCCTGTGGGAGCAGGGTCGATCACCCTGCGCCTGGGGGGAGGGAAGGGGTGCAGGAGGACATTCCTGTCTTGCTGGGGGTTGCACTGGTGGTCCTCAGTCTCCTGGGTGGGGGGCTGGAGTGCAGCAAAAGCTGAGTAAAGCTGGAAGCAGAAGTTGGCTTTAGTCCTGCAGTACCGAGATGAACAAGGAAATTTGCTTATCTGCACTTGGTAAGAGAGAATCCTTCCCTCCCTGCGAAGCCAAAGCTGTTCTGATCCATCCCCTGCACAGACTGGGAGAACTTCCCGCTCAATCCCCAATTAGCCATGGAACCATACGCGATTAGGAAATAACATAGGATACCACGGCTGTTCGCTGAGCCTCTGAAGTGCACGATATGTCTGTCTGTCCACCCACATGTGCACAGGCTCCTGGCAGAGGTTTCCTCAGGGAAATGAGCCGTACGCGTTTGCGAGGGTGCTGCAGGATGTGCCGCTGGGCGCTGGTGGGCTTGGCTGGCGTGACAGGAGCAATTCCTAGTGTGAAATCAGGAAAACCAGCTTCGGGTCGGCTCAGCAGGCTCCGAGGATGTGGAAACGCGCGTGTCAGGGGGAGATGGAGCAGCGTGGTCTCAGCCGCGCCGTTGGTTTCAAGCTCAGTGAAGGGTCCGTCCTTACCTGCGGGTTCTCCTCACAGCTAAGAAGTACGATGCCTTCCTGGCTTCCGAGTCCTTGATCAAGCAGATCCCTCGGATCCTGGGTCCAGGCCTGAACAAAGCCGGCAAATTCCCTTCTCTCCTCACTCACAACGAGAACCTGGTGGCCAAGGTTGATGAGGTCAAATCAACCATCAAATTTCAGATGAAGAAGGTAAAGCAGGGCTTTCCCCCTCCGAGGCAGCTGCGTCCCCAAGGGCTGGTGGTGATGGGTGGTGGTGACGGGTGGTGGCTGCCGTCTCCCGGCTGGGCTGTAGGTGTCCCTCGCGTGTTGGTGACCATCTCCTCCGTCGGGAGACAGGACCCGAAGTGTTCAGCTGCTGGCTGGGAGGGAGGAGGAATTCCTCTGTGGTTGAAAGATCTGAGAGCGAATGATTAGGAGCTTGGATGTCTCGGTGCTGAGCGCCATCGGTGGTAATTAACGCTCTGGAAGTGGGTGACACTTGCAGGGAGGGGCGCAGGCATCCCCCCCCTCGCCCCCCCAGTCTGTGCACGCAGCAGTGCTTTGCCGGAGGCGAGCTTGGGGCTTGAGTCCGCCAGGGAACTGCGGAGCGGCTCTGCCGAGATCCACTCCTGCTGGCAGGAGATGCCAGGCGCGCTGCCTCCCCCAAACCAAAATAACCCCGCTCCGGCATTTTCATCTCGTGTCAGCAGTCCGAGCGCGGCTGGCTCGTGGGTGTTGCTCAGAATTAACAGCTCTGCTGGCTGAGGTGCATCCTTGGGCTCCAGCTGATCCGGGCCTGAGGGCACAACAACTGGGAGGACACAGCCAATCTGATAGTTAGCAAATGCTGAAGCACTTGGAGTGACTGAGCTAACGATGTCCTGACACTGGGCCTGTCAGCTCGCTCATAAATCCTCTCATCTTCAGCCCGCGGGGAGCACTGGCTTACAGGCTTCTCGGGGAGGCTGGCAGGCGGAGGCTTGGCCTCTCTCTGCCCTGTGTGCCCAAAGAAAGGGCTGATGGCTGGAGCCCAAATTGGAAAGTGAAGCTGGCACTTCATGGGGAGCTGATGGCCTGCGCGGACTGCAGGGCGCGTGCCAGGGCCGCCTCGCGAGCGGCCCATGGGAGCGGAGTTAAACCCGAGGTCTGTGCCGGTGCAGCACGGCTCGTTGCACCACTTCCTGCTGTCCCCATCTCCGAGTCGCCTTTGCGCTCCGAGGACGCCAGACCTGCCCATGCTGGCGTTCAGAGGCGGCACCCGGGTGCCACCAGACACATTTCACGGGTGCCAGGCAGAGTGAGCCCTGTGGGAACACCCGTGGAGGGGCTGGAGGAGTCGTGTCCAGCTGCCAGAACAGGAGATAACTTCATACCCTGCTGGGCTGAGATGAGGGCTGGGCGGTTTGGTCAGTCACTTAGCTCTAATCTTTTGATTTCCCTGCAAAACCTTTTACCTGTGTGAGTGACGCTGGTGTCGGTGTCCCCCAGGTGCTCTGCCTGGCTGTGGCTGTTGGTCACGTGAAGATGACAGAGGACGAGCTCGTCTACAACATCCACCTGGCCATCAACTTCCTGGTGTCCCTGCTGAAGAAGAACTGGCAGAATGTGCGCGCTCTGTACATCAAGAGCACCATGGGGAAGCCCCAGCGCCTGTACTGAGGGGGCAGCAAGAATAAACTTCTAGGATGACCCACAGCTGTGTCTTGGTTGTGTTCCTCCAGAGGGAAGGGTTTGGGATGACAGCGGGAAAGGCCTCGTGTGCTGCGTTGGGGTGCTGGGGGCAGGAATTTGAGTAGAATTTCTGAGGACAGTGGGGCAGGGGGGGAACCAGCTCCTCTCGCATCCGCAGCTTGCGGTGGTCAGCACGGCTGCGGGCCTGCAGAGCCCCTGGGCAGTTGTCCCCATAGCCCCAAGCCCCCCACTCGCCCACCGAGGGGACCCTTACCTTGCGCTGCCCTCTCCCTGCTCTGGGGGAAGGGGCTGGGGGCACTCACGTTTATCATCTGCTGCCCCCTAGCACTGACCAATGGCCGGGATCCCACCCAGCAGCAGCTCGTCAGGGCCTGATGGGCGTCTTCAGCTGGTCCCAGTTACCCACCGGATCTGGAGGGGTGGGGGGTGCTGGGAGGTGCTGAGCTGCTGCTCTGCTGCTCTGCAAAGGGGCTGAGCTAAAGAGTTTTCTGCCCCCTCTGCTTCCCTCTGCACTAGTCCCCTTCCAATTCCTTGTTCTGGGCTAAAAATGAGATGCGTTGCATCTAATTAATGTATATAAATAAATACATTGTGTGGTGACGGGCGAGCTTATGGAAATGTGGAGGATTTAAGCTTCTGGGGGGAAAAAAAACCCCTATGCCCCTGAAAAGAGCTCGTTTTCGCAGCCGAGGGAAGAAAACAATGAAAACAGCTTTGGGTCCTGCTGTTCGAAACCTTTAAAATAAGCATCAGAGCCAGTTTCCGAAAGATCAACACAACACCAAGAAATTCCATTTAATAATTAAAAAAAGACAATACAAAATGCAAACATTTCTTTGTACAAAGTTCAGATACATTTTTTTTTCTTTTAATTAAGTGCAAATAACTTCATGAACTACATCTTTGTCATTACTTGAATCGTTTTTTGCTGGAGATGGTAAGTCGTGGCCCACGGCAAAAGGCAGATATAAATATTCCAACGTGAAAAAAAACCCCAAAACCCAACAACCCTCGCTTATGTTCACCGCGTCGAAACATTCAGTACCTCCGAGGTGGCCGACGATGCGGTTTTCAGCCTTTCAAACCTTTTCAGAGTTGTGGGTGGGGGTGAAGAGAGGGGCCGAGCTGCGCTGGGGCGGGGGGTTCTGGTGGCCCCGGGGACTTTTTTTTGGGGGGGTTATCTGAGATCTTTGGTGAAAGGAGGGCGCGGAGACGTCAC